ACCCTGGGACCTTTAAATGTATGGATTTCAATTCCCATACTGGCTGGAGAATTCTGGGAGTTTTTTGTCCATACATTTTCAAGTCCCAGGGTTGAGAAACACTTGCTCTGGGGCATAGATTATATTATTCTGGTTACATAAGAAACTGTTGAAGTGTGAAGTGCTTCTTTGTTGAGATTCTGGCATATCCCCATCCCTATTCCTGGCCTATCCCTTCTGATTTTCTCTTGTTTCCTTTCAACAAACCATCAGAATTCAATGGTGAACAAGAAGTTTTTTTTTAAGTTTTCCTTCCCTCCTAATAATGATAATAATTACTGCAGAAGAGAATTTTTTTTCCTAATGACTTCTTTAATTCTATAAGCCTTCAAATTCCTTGAACTCTGCCAATACCTCCCTCTTGTGTATAAGTGATGCATTTTGACTCCATACATAATGGCATGCATGTGGACATTGAAAATAGCAGATATGGTAAACTCATAAGAAGAACCAATTAATACTGTTATTCAATAAATGTTTAATGAGCAATTAAGTCCCCTGTAGTCAGCACAGCCAGGAAGGGCACTCTAAGACTTTCCAAAATAAAGCTCTAGTGTGTATTATTAGATGAACATCCTCCAGTTAGGAAACATTTAAAAGGCTATGTAATGGAAGCAAAAACAAGATTTCTCTGATGGGCTGCTAATGCAGAATCTAAAGTTTAATCTTTTTGGCACATCTGAACACTACAAAAAAGAGCCATATGCTAGGCTATAACCAAGCATTCTTAATATGCAATCTATCTAGTATCTCCACACTTGACTTGTCAAATGATGATTCTTCCAAGAAAAATATAAACTCGATGTTAATCACACTCTGTATCTACCAAAGTCAAATTTCTAATGTATAAATGGCTGATCAGCTTTCATCACTTCTAGAAAAAGTAATTCTCTAGAAGAGGGAGTGGGCAAAAGGGGGAAATCACAGACACTACAAATTAACATCAAATGATACAATTGGAAAACATTTATTTTACCCAATGCACAAAAAGCTACTTATTAGCAGCTTTGAAGCAAGATAGTAAATACTCAGTTTCTACTGCTATTAATGGCTTTTTGCAAAATTAATACTGTGATATTTTGAATTGGCATGCAAATAATTTGTGCTCTCTTGTGCCACCCAGAAAGCAAGTCATGTGTTTTTGTTTCATCTGATGATAACAGCTAGTTCTGAGGTAGAAAAAAAAAAAGCTGTTCTCTAGGAGAAAAGTATTTCCAAAGTTAAAGTTAAGACATTCCAGATAAGAGAAATTTTGTTAATTTAATTTAAAGGAAGCCAATTCTGAAACATAACACATGTGTTAATTCAAAATATTCCCATATATTTCATGATATGCCCATCAGATGGATTGCAATGCATTTGATGACTAAGAGATAAATGTGTCAACCTGAAAATGGTATTTTAGTATAGGATCTGTAACAATGCTGTCAAAATGATGACATGTGCAACATGGCATCATTGCACAATTATTAGGTAGACTGTATAAGTGGTTAACACAGTCACTTCAAACGATTATTTCTTTCTGACAGATGGTGAAGAAATGAAAGAGTTGGGGAAACAATTAGAAGTGGACTGGTAAAGATTAAGGACAAATTTGACACACATGAATAAGCTCTTGTTGAAGCTTATGCCATAGCAGTAGACGCAGCAAAAGATTAATTTTTCTCTCAGCCTATTGCTTCAGCACAATGTCATCCCACCAAGTGAACCATTTCTTTGCATTCTGAACCCTGCATAGACTACAGGTGAATCTTCAGCAGTTCAATGTCAAATGTTTGTGCTATACTTTGAAAGTTAAATTGCTCATGCTTTCTCAAATTTAAGTTTCCAAGTAAAGGATAGATTTTGGTACCTGGTCGTGCAATTTTTATAATTGATGCAGAATTTTGCTGCTTTAGAATGTGGTTCAATGGGCTGGAGTGGCCAATTTCTTGCTTGGATCTTTCCTATCTGGCCTGTTAATGTATGGCATAGTGCAGGCATGTCAAACTCGCGACTTATCAGAGCTTTTTTGCCATTGCCGACAATGGGGTGGGCGCGGCTCCAGTATGATGAAACCTGCCCACGGGCCGGCAGTTTGACACCCCTGGCATAGTGTAATGGATATAGTGCTGGATTAGAAGTAGGAAAACCCAAGTTCAAAACTAATATCAGACATGAATATTCATTGGATAACGTTGGGCCAGCCTTGGTCTAATTTGGTCACAGACTGATGTAAGGAAAAAATTGGAGATGAGAGCACCACGTACTCTATCTTGAACTTCAAGAGGAAAGGTGAAAAATAAATCTAACATACAAGCAAATAAATGAAGTTACCAATAATTACTTGACTAACTGTGTTAATGGACATTGTGGGTGATTCTTGAAGGAGGCCATTCTCACTTTAATAAAAGAGTGCTGCTAAAGCCTATGTTAAATTTTTTTGGATAATAATTAGTCACATTTTGCATTTTTTAAGAAGATCTAAAGGAAATAGTAATGTACTTCTTTCTAATTTGGAAAAAAAAAGTTTAGGATAAACGATGAGCCATGGTGGCGGACTGGTTAGAATGTAGTATTGCAGGCTAATTCTGCTGCCTGCCAGGGGTTCAGTCCTCACCGGCTCAAGATTGACTCCGCCCTTCATCCTTCCGAGGTCGGTAAAAGGAGGAGCCAGATTGTTGGGGGCAAGATGCTGACTCTGTAAACCGCTTAGAGAAGGCTGTAAAGCATTGTGAAGCGGTATGTAAGTCTAAGTGCTATTGCTAGTCCTATACTCTGTGTTTATTATGCTGGTCTTTTTGATGATATTCAATACTGTTAATCTGGTTTCCTTCTAAGGCAGTTACCTGGATTAGAACCTTGGGAATTGCTCTGCATTAAGTTCACTTGTTTCTAATACTGCTGAGACACTCTAACTCATATCTGGCCATTGGTTTCTGTGGTATGTTTTAAACCTCTACATGAAATCATTCTGAGAGGTAATTTGATGGTTTGTCTCATCACATGAGGATGACACCCAGCTCTATATATTTTCAACTCATGTCTAGGAGTATGGAAATCTTGAAGGACTGGCTAGAAAAAAAATTATAGATTGATTATTCATTAACAAATGACTATGAGATGTTAAACTGGTTGGAACATGGGTAAGAGAGTCTTCTGCAGTAGAATCTACTACCAGAAGAATGATCTTTCAGGAGGGTTTACATTGTCCTGTTTATCTCCTCGCCTTTTCTTGAACAGTAAGGATATTTGGATTTGGTTTAGTATTTAACTCTCAGCTTGCTTTTGTTATGTTCTTTCAAGTACTGTATGGCTCCGTTTTTAGGTTCGGTATGTGTGCAAGTTCTCGAAGTTCAAATACTATATTTAATATTTGCACTAGAGTTTTCCAACTAAAAGTACATGACATGCATCTGGTTATGGGTAGCAAAGCTGCATGAAGGTATGTGTCTATTTATTCTCTCCTAAACAATGCAGGCAACATTAGGTATAGGATTAGGCTGCTAGTCCTGTCATGTTATATTCCTTGTATAAACAAAGATAATGCATACATTATTAACTGTAATATAAAAAAGATGCTATGTTGACTCAAAATGAAAACCCAGGAAATTTCAAAATGGACAGTTATTCAATGTATATAGCATGTGATGAGCATATGATTGATTTGAGTAATATAAAGGCTTCACTTTCTAGACCCAACTGACTCAATAATATGTCTTAGGTATTTTTGTTCTCTATTGATTTATAACTTGTCTTCTGATTTCTTCAAACATCTCAATTTCTTCCATAACAATAGAAGCATGACATATACTATTAACTCAGAATTGCTTTTTGGGGGAAGGGGGATTCCCTACATTTTTTGGAGGAGGAAATGGGTGTTATAAACCAGGGGTCCCCAACCCCCAATCCATGGACCAGTACCGGGCTGTGGCATGCCAGCAACCGGTCTGCACAAACAAGCAAAGCCCCATCCACGAGATGCAGGCAGAACACAAAACCACACACCCTCCGGTCTGCGGAAAAACCTCTCTCCATGGAACCGGTCCCTGGTGCCCAAAAGGTTGGGGACCTCTGTTATAAACAGTTGATTATAAAATCCAAGTAAAATCACTTTTGTACCCTTTTTCTTCCTATGTTTTTAATTCTACTTTGATTCTACTATAATTCATTTTATCATGCAGACTTTCTATTTGTGCACTGAATCTAACTAAAACTTATTAAAGGAAATGCACCTGAATGTTAGTCAAATAATAACATACTAAAAATATATTAAAATGTTATTACATCTTTGCTATCCCAGACATATTACCAAATTTCTTTACTTGTATAAGCTGTTTTATATAAGCTTAACTGCTTAAGGTGGCCCTTATAAAGAACATTTATCCACACACTTAATAAGGACTCCAAACTTAGAATAAGTCATAAACAGTTGAAGTAGGGCAGGGTTATTGGGGGGGGGGGGGTGTTGCTTTTTTTTTCAGTCTAAGTTTTAAAAAAAATATTCTGCACATGCCATGATTAGCGGCTTCATTGCTAACTTTTCTCTCCTCTGATTCACTTGTGACCTCATTTACCAGCAACTTTCACAATACCCAGTGAATGACATCAGTGACTAAGTATTGATTAAAACAAGATAGGGAGTACTCCCTCTGACTAGAGAGAGCACAGCTCAACACAGCCATCAGGAAACCAAAAGGAATTGCAGGTCAATATTGCTGGAACACCTTACTTTTTACATTGACCTTGGTAGGACAACTGATGTTCATTCAAAATAAGCAAGATGGTGAAAAGATCTGTATTTTGTATCCTGAAATGATCTTGCTGGTAACAGAAGATCAATATTATGGTACATTTCAATAACTAACCAATGGTAACAGGCTGTTGCATTTGGTCTGCAAGAACTGAATTGATTGAAACCATTGTTCACAGATGAATACCAATGACATTCCCAAATAGAAAATACTAGTCATGCAAGCCACACTTGATTCTACTGCAAATATGTCAGTGAAGTGAACCTGAACTAGTGAGATTACTATATCTTGAAAAGGAAACACAAAGAACACAACCAGCCACGTACCCAGCCTCCATTGTCCTGGATCCAATTGTGCAGATGCCTGTTCATGTACTCAGTCATCCATTCAGCAATACTGTCCACCAGAGGTGACATCTCCCGACTGACACTTTCCACACACAGCATGCCACCAAATTCAAAGAATGCCACAATCCTTCCCCAGTTTACTCCATCTCGGAACAGCTCTTCCACAACAGCCATGAAATGACTTCTGGCCGTGACTGGAGTCAAGTGCAGTTGACCAGACATCTGGGTAAAGTCCCTCTGATACCTCCGTGAAAACTCATCACCAGCTTGGCATAGCGTGGAATAAACAACTTGGGGTACAGGATGTACTTCAGTGGCAGCCAAGTTACTAACAGCAGCAGAAGGCAGAGACACCAGCCCTCCAAGAGCAGGAAAGGTCCCAATAGCAGAAGAAACATTTTCTCTGTCTCCACTGGCAACCCAGTCATATCCTTTCTGTGACAGCTTGTAATGGATGTACCTCAGCACTATCTCCCGGTTACTGTAATCTCTTATCCCAGGATGAGCCATCATTTACAACAGAGTGCTGGGAGGGGAATAAAAAGAAAGATAAAATGTCCCCCTCCCCACCCAAAAAATTAAAGCAGCCAGTAATAATAAGTGCCAGTGTTATATAGCATCCAGTTCCTTTATTGTGTGTAGTTCCATTTGTGGAGGTGGAGGTGAAGTCCTTAGATCTTAAATCTATTTCTGTCTTCCCAGCGTCTCTTCTTTCGTATATGATAGGGGATGGAGACCAGAGTCAAAATGAAGCCAATATTGTATTCCACATGTAATATTTATTATAAAATTAATGTTCAGAATCCTTCCTTCCTTTGGGTTGAAATACATCTAAAAAGAAAAAGAAAACCAAATATCCTTTTTCAAAATCGGGTGCTTTTTTCCCCCTCCGTTCTAGATGATGATCTAGTATATGGAAGAAGATGCTGTGCATACATTTCAATTCTCCTCCCTCCCCCTTCAAAATGATTTACAGATTAAAGCAGCTTCCAATGCAAATTCATGTAAAGCACGTTTAACAAAACTCTTATTTTTTTTCATAAAGAAAAGTTAACACCAAGCAAATTCCCTGTAGAAAATACTTACTGGAATTAGAAACGTTCTTTCCTCTCAAATGTCCTTACAGAAGAAAAAGCAAACAAAAAACTTCACAGGTCTCTTAAAATATTAAGTATAAGGATTTTTTTTGATGATCCTAAAAAAAAAAGGGGGGGGGAAATAAAGAAGCAAAAGAGGCCTTTAGCTCCTGTTGAATTAGTCTGATTTCCAAAAATGTTTCTTGGATTTCTGTTGGGATGACATTTCCAAAGATATGTCAAGAGCCCACAAATCCTGGTTCTGAACTTCAGAAAGGAGACCAAGCCAAAACAGAGGCAGAAGGGGGGGGGAAATAAATCCTGAAAAGCATCAAGAGAAATGCATCTTATCAGTTTAGCCTCTGGAATGAGTAGGGTGCTCCAGTGCCACGGAACATAGTTTCATTCAGACACGGATCCTGAACTCAATACACCTAAACCATCATCACCAATCACCATCATTCTCTGAAATTATAACAACCCCCCCCCCCTCTTCTTCGCTGCTTTAACTCCAGGAGACAGACAGACAGACAGACAGACCCACGTCCATAATTGGGAAGAAGCCAAATAAGTGTGAGCAAAAAGCAAAAGAGAAGAGGTGTCTGAAGGATTAATTGATCCTAATTATCCCCCCTCCCCCCACCCTCCCCCCCCCCGGTGCTCTTGGTACCCCGGGCAGCCTCGTAAAGCTTCCTAGTCACGAGGCGCCTCCTCCTTCTCCAGCGTCGGCTCCAGATTGGATGTGCTGCGTTCGGCGCGGAGGCTCCAGCTGCCGATGGGGAGGTCTCGGCGGCGGGGGGAAGGCATAGTCAATGCAGCCGCACACGGGGGGGAGGAGACAGAGGAGGAGAGCTCCTAACTAACGCTTCAGGCTCGGCAAATGGGGCAGCCTTTCTTCTAGCCCCACCTCGCTCTTCATTCAAGAAAAGGGGGGGGGGGGAGAGAGAAGACGCAGAGGGAGGGCGCCAACTCTCGCCTTTGCGCCGCTGCCGCCCCGGACGAGGCTTGCGCGGCTGTGGGGCTGAGCTGCCTTTCCCCCCCCCCAAGCCTGGAATTGGGGTGCTTCTTCGCCAGGGCTTCAGGCTCCGATGCCCCTCGCGGGTTGAGGGGGGGTGGTCGGTCCACGATGGGGAAGGGTAGACTGTGGGGGGGGGGGAGAGAAAGTCAAGACGTTCCCCTTGGCTGCTTTTCATTCATTTTTATTGTTTTGGTGGGTCGATTTTGGGAGAGGAAGAGGAACTTGTATTCCAAAGCGCCTCAAGAGTTGTACTGGCCGGGCAATGGCTGCGGCGGGTCAAGGGGCGCTTAGATCCGAAGAAGAAGAAGAAGAAACTGAGGCCGAGAAAGAAGAGGAGGCGCACTTGTCCCAGACCACCCAGTAGCTTCCTATATGGGAGCTACAACCGCAACCCATCCCCAGCTTTGCAAAAATGTTGGGACTCTAAAGCGGGGGGGGGGGGGGGAGAAGGAGAATAACATGGTTGAGGAAGTGTGCTGTGTAACATCCCAGCTGCCAAAAATATGCGCGTCCAGATATTTTTTTTTTTTTTTAGCCAAGTTTAGGAAGCATCCCCCCCCCCTCTATCAAACAGCGATGCAAATGTAGCTGCGCCTACAAAGCGGGGTGGGGGGGGCGGACGTCTCTGTCCTTCATAGTTCCTAATCAGTTTGAGGCAGGCATCTCTCCGCAGTAGAACCGATCCCCGCCCCGCCCCCCCCTTTTTGGGGGGTCTCCCAGCAAAAGTTGCCCCAAGAAAATCAGCGGGGGTGCGGAGGGGTCGCCGTTCGTCCGGACGCGCGTATTCGAAAGTAGGGGCGGGGGAATGTTATTTGTATCCGTAGGGTGCCACCTGCCGTCCAGCCTGAATGCCTTCCTCAGTCTGCAATCTGTCCTTGAATCTCCTTGCTCAGTTTATTCCCGCCTTTTCTTGAAGGGACTATGGCAGGGGTAGGCAACCTCGGCTCTTTTATGACTCATGGACTTCAACTCCCAGAATTCCCGAGTCAGCATGGCTGACTCGGGAATTCTGGGAATTGAAGTCCATGAGTCATAAAAGAGCCGAGGTTGCCTACCCCTGGACTCTGGAAAGACTTGTGTATGCTGTCAGCGTGTGGGTGAGAAGAGCTGTGGAGTTTTCAGCTGGTGGAAGGCGCCCAACCAAGCACTTCTGTTCTGGGTCTTGTCGTAAAAATTTTTCGGGTCTAGGGCATTTTATGCACTTTACATCCCGACTCTTATCAAAGCGTTCTCCGGTATTAAAATAACAGGGTTGTTGTCAAATCCCAGTTCTTATTGCTGTTCGGTTCTTCTGCCTCCCCTTCCTCCTGCCTTTCACATTGTTGAAAATATGTTGATACACATTATCAGGTAATTATCTGCAAATAACACTGTAAAATCTCTTATAATTTAGGCCAGCAATGGCAACCTTATGACATGGATGTTAAGGGGGTAACACGCCATGGCATTTTGGGTGATACGCCAGCGCTCATCAACCACCAACTATTCTTGAAAGTTTGCCCCGTTTTTGCACACTTTGGAGGCTGCGCAAGAATGAGATGTTCTGCATTACCTCCAGACATTGTGCAAGAGGGTCATGCTTTGGCACATACTCCAAAGATGCATGAGGACGGAATGAGTTTTCGCTTGATTTTGGAGGCTGCAGAAGAGCATTCTCGGAAGCTGCTTCAAGAACAAAGGTCTAGTAGTGTGACCGGGAGCAGCCTTGGGTAGGCCAGAGTGGTATGTCAACAGAAAGACAACATCACATAAAGGTAAGCAGCACACGGCAGATCCTGAGGGCTACTGGGCAATCATGCTATTTTCCTAGGCTCATGCACCTTGGGAATGGCACAAGGTGGCCCTTTTGAGTGGTTGGTCTGGCATTAGGGCTGAAGTTGAAGCCTGAGTCTCTACTTTAGGCCCAGCCTCAGAGCTGCCACAGAGTGCTGATGTTCAGAGTAGGCTTAATGGGTATTGAGATAGAGAATTGTTTCTCTTTTGTTGGGGAGGGAGGTGTGGCACACCGGAAGAGTCAAATTAGGCATTTTCTGAATTTTGACAACATAGTCAAAAGGCTTTTCCACCACTGATTTAGGGCGCAAAATGCTCATTTAAATATTAATAGCTTGGTTTATAACACAATATTAGATGGCCTAATATACAGATAAACCATTCTGCTTTTTTGGCACTCTGAACAGAAAAGCAGAAAGGTATATTGTATTAGGCCACCTAACTGTTACAAATAACTTTTGGAGTTTTCAAGATTCACCATCAAGCCAAATGAAGAAAACATGGTAAAATACATACCTGACTGCTCTTAGGATCTGAGGCATCACTAACTTTGCTCAATCCATAGGAAACCTTAAAATGCAAATTGGTCCTTCATAGAGAAAGCATCCTAGAAAATACCTCAAAAGCTATGGCTGGCCAAGGGTATGTGGGCTGCTACATTCTGGACTTACCAACCAACTAGCAAATCTGCCCAGCTCAGAAAGATCAGCTATTAGACCAGCTCAGCACAGAAAAGACTGGTTGAACATAGAAGAGACCTCAGAGGAGCAACGCCTGGGGGCAGCTAGAAAGACCGGCTGAGCACAGAAAGGTAGTCAAGAAAGCAAGGCAGAGAGGATAAAGATAAATAAGGAGCAAATTAAGAAATGGAAGGATGGGGATGAATTTTTAGGCAGAGAACAGAAAGCTAAAAGCAAATTCCTTGTTGAGAAAGCAGCCCTACACTAACATTAACTTTTAACTTCAATATAAACTGCATTTTTTTTAAATCAAAGGGCATACTGCCACATACTTTTATTTATACCTAAGTAACTAGGCAGGAAAACAAGCACAAACAGGCAGAAAAAAGGATAGCAAAAACCAGGCATAATTACCTAGAACAGAGAAGCTAGAAACAAGACTAACAGCAAAGCCAACCAAAAAGAGGGATTTTCAAACAACAAACTCATGGAACAGGTGACTGATACTATTGTGGTATGCAATACATATTCCATGTATGGTGCTTATGCCCAAAGAACGCCCAAACTATACATGCATTAGATGTAAACTATGTGAACTATTAGAGGAAAAAGCATTTAGAGGCAACTCTAGCCAAACTCCAACCTACAAAAGAAAGCTATACTCAAACCGAACCAAATAATGAACAAATAATTCCCAGAGGATTTGACCCTACTGATAAACCCTTGGAAGAGGACAAATGGAGGTATGTCACACATAGAAGGAAACACAATAATCAAAGAAAAAAGCAGCAGACATAACAAACCCCTACTGCTCAAGTCTAATCCAACCAGAAGCAGCCCAATAAAACTGAGCAAACGATTTCTACCCTTAGATGGAAACATGCAGACCCACAACCTCCCCCTCAAAGAAAACATGCAGACACCTAGCAAAAATACAAATTCAAATATCCCTTAAAAAGTCAC